CAAAGCCGTCTCCGCCAGGTAGCTCGGAGAGCACAGGTGTAAAGATTTCCATGAAGAAAGGCTGCTGGAACTCGGGGAGGAAAGCCCGATGGACGTGTGGGGCTGGAGAGAATCAACAGGACAGCAGGTGACCTAGTTCACTCCTGGGAGGAGGCCCGGACTTCAGTGTCTTGGCTGAGTAGGGAGAGACCTGGGAGGGCTTTGTTCCAGCGGAATCATTTTATCCAGATTGGAGGGTCCAAGAGGCTTGGGCAGCTACCGATCTCCTGCAGCTCCCGCTGTGGACAGGACACTAAGTCTGGGCGGAGTGGACAGAGACAGGGCGGGGAACATTTCTGAGGGCGACCGCGCAACACGAAGCAATCATGGTTGCCAAGAGCTGTTGACTGTGGTGACAGAGGCACCTTCCATCAGAAGCGGAAGTCGGTGAGGAAAGAACCATGCCTCCCTTCTGCAGCTCCAGGATCTGGCAGAGGGTCCAGGACACGGGGAGTGTTCAGTAAACAGATGAGCGTCCAAACTGTGCATACACAAAAGGACTGGCCTGCCAGGTCCTTCACGTTTAGCTGGCTGACAGCCCACATCCGTCACCCCCGAGAGTTCTGGGGCAAATGCTTAGGGGTCCAGTCCCCACTGCCCTGAGCCCTTGTCAGGAGGGCTGATATCCGAACCGTTCGTGAAAAAAAGCAACTTTGTTAAACAAAGACTCCTTGACTCTCCTGGATAAATTATTCTATCCATGGTTTTGCCTGGAAAAGTATCCTAGGGTCTAACAAGCCATGTCATCGTGAAGTCAAGGTGAATCCCAACTTTGGTAAACATGCTTCACTTTGTTCTCTGGTCTCCAGGGAGACACAGAGCAGTAGCTCACTGTCATCCGTACCACAGCCTCCCACCCTGGGCGATGATGGGTGAGTCAGCTTCCTCTTCTGAGTGGGGATGCAGAGCCCTGAGCACTCCTTAGTTTTCTTCCATTGGGCTGCCACATCCCCAACCCCATCCGCTCCCCAAGGACGGCGCCAGCCCTGTCTGCCACCAGGTTCCCTCACCAACCCCTCTGCTCGCTCTTCACTTTGCAATTCTGAAGACTTCCTGACTGGCTTATTGTTCATTTGTCCCCATCCTGGGAGCAGGCCAAGCAAAGAGAGACCCAGTCTCTTTGTCTCTGATCCACCAAGTGGACCTGCACAGACTCCAGCCTCAAATTCTTAATGTTGTATAACGCTGTGCAGTCGCGATTGCAGAAGTTCCCACGTCACTTGGTTCTAAAAGAAAACATTGCTATGCGACAAATTCACCAAGTTCCCTGTGCTGGTGTGTTAGCCCGCAAGGTGCCCTGAAGAGGCCTGAACTCAAACGCCGTCAGCTGTAAACACAAGGAAGTCCACTGCAGCTGCCCTCAGTGTTTGTGTGTTTTTACTAAATGTCTCTAGCAGAGATGACATGCAAGGAAATGAAAGGATAATTTGATCATATTCTAGGTCAGCAGAGACAAAACCTCACATAAATAGACAAACACGCACGGGGGCAGGGCTTCACGAAAAGATCAAAGAACTCAGAGACGTTCTCAATTTAGGCAGAGACTCGTCTGCAGAGGATACCGGGAGAATGATACAGTATGGAGAGAAATTTTGATATAGTTTATGTTTTAGTGTAAATCACTACGTATACTGACCGCATAAAGAATGGGAGAAAGGAGAAGCAAGGGGGAGGAATCTGTTCAAAGTTTTACATGTATTTTCTCACTTAATCCCATTTAATCTATCCAAATCCATTTTCCTATCTCTAGGCTTTCAGTAGATGATGTTGAATTCTGGAAACAACCTGGTTATCCGTCTTGAACAACCAAGACCACAGACCAGCACCATTTCAGAAGCGACTTTCCGGCAGAATGGAGGCCTCCCCAAGGTCAAGGTTTTCCCTCCCCTCTAACAGTGCAGAGATCAGCGTTCCTGGCAGTGTTCATGATCTACGATGTGATCGAAGGTCTAACAAAATCTACCCTAAAAGGTAAGAGCCACTAATTGGAGGCCACGTCGAAGCATTGGAGATAATGCCTTTAAGCCCCTCCTGGTGCCCAGTGTCATCTTCCTGTGGTTTATGGGGTTCCCGACCCAAATGCATCGCTGAGACCCCTCCTCACGAGGAGGCGGCGATGCTGGGAAAGTTCTCTGGTGAACTTTAACCACAGCTGTGTTCTCTGCTCCCGAAGGAGAATTACTCATTGAAATTAGAGTCGATTTCCTTTTGGGAGCAATATTTACTTCTTAAAATAAAATGGCAATGAGATTCGTTAGTGTTTACAAGGCCTGCTTGTGGGTTTTGAATTTTCTTTGGCAAGAGTGCCCACTGGGAGTACTGGTCAACTGGGTGCTGGTCCCAGGGGTCAGGCCTCCCCAGGTAAGGATGGCCAAGAGGGCATCTGATCCCCTAAAACATTTACTACCTGGCCCCTTATGGGAAAGGTTTGCTGACCCCTGCTCCAAGCTATAGGATATTTTCTCAGTGATGAGCTGTACTGCCTACTAGACTCAGTACAAGAGCAGTATAATAAAAACTGCAAAGTTAAAGAAGTTTAAAAACTCAAAAATTCCATGAGCACATGAGCACTTCTGGTACTAAGCTCAAATATCGGCAATTACTACCTAACCGAACCTTTGCTTCCTTGCACAGAAAGGAAGCCGAACTTCCCTCCCCGTCAGTAACATCCTGAACGTCCACCCAATTACTTTACGTTTAAGTGGCTGAGGACCACAAGGGCGTATCAGCTGACTACTAGCCCGTCCACTCACGCACTCACTTTTGACCTCAAGAGATATCTCCTCAGCGCCAGGTGTTGAGCTAGGCACTCAGAACACACAGACGAAACGTGCTCGAGGCTTAGACCAAAGGCCACCTCACCGCGGAGAGATGTGTGGGCAGGAAACTGTGTGACAGGAGATCGCACGGTGACACGTGGGCTCCGGAGGTGCCACCCGGCCGTGCGGGCAGGGGAGCTTTCTCAGAGAATGTGATGCCTGCTTATGCTGCCGGTTATTCTTTAAGAGATGAATATACTAACTTCTGTAATCACTTAACCCAGCCCCGTCCACTGGGAAGCCTGGCATGAGTGTAAAGTCAGTTTACAGGAGGCAGCGGTGGCTTCAGGCAGGGGAGGGACTGGCCAATGAGTAAGCTGCCCAGAGAATGATCAGCCCAGGGCCCCAGCTGCCCCGCATTCCAGACAGAATCCTAAGGCGTGTGTGTGTGCGTGTGCATGCATGCAATACACACCACCTCCTTTTGCAGCTGTGGGTTGATTTTTCCTTAAATTGCAAGTCCTTTCCAGAAGGCAGGCCTAGGGGGCACGACCTTGTTATAACATCCGGCCTCCCCCACGGGCCCACGTGAGCCTGCAGGTTTAGTGAGAATCACTGCGCAGGCAGGAAGACAACCCGACAGTGCCCGGGTCCTGATGTTCTTTTCCAGATGACGATAAAACGGCTGGACGATGGCCACTCAGTAAGGTGCCCATTCCCCGTGCCCGCCCCCGCCCCGAGTGGTGCCGTGGGCCCCCAAAGGACCAAGGAGAAAGGGGAGAGCCCTCTATGGAGGTGCAGTGTCACGTTTACGGAATGACTTGACGGATGTGGGAAAGATTTGCTTCCCAGAAACGTTTTCCATCGTTGATTTTCAGAGGGCCTTAGCTATCAGATCAGTCACATGAGTCTTAAACACTTAGGTCTTCTCCAGTCTCCTGTGGAATTGCAGTTTTTCCTTGGGTAAGAGTTAGCGCCTTTGAGCAATGATGACTTTTCTCTCCTGGTTCTGACTGCGTTGATGGACTGCTGTCATCCTGCCGAGTCAGCCTGCAGCACCCTCCTGACCTGCTGTCACTGGTTTAGATCCTTACACGTGCCTTTCGAAACCTCTGCTCACGAAGTGTGCAGCACCAGGAACACTGGGGTAACAGCTAAAGCAGCCTCGTGGCCGATACCCTCCTGTTGCTTCAGATCAGTTTGAGGCAATGGAATTAATACGAAACCAAGAAAAAATAATTGTACTATTGGGGAAAGTAGGACTGTTTTAATTCCTAAGACAGTAGGCAGCCTATCCAATAGAATCTTGCCCCAAGGTTTTAAAAAATGATCATTTTCTGCGCTTCTTCTGGGAAAAGCTTTTAAAATGCAGCTTTGTTAATCAGCTTAAAGATGTAGAAGAAAATGGTGACATGATCAGCCACCATGTCACCTGCAGGCGCTTTCTGCAACTTCCTGAACGGAACTGGCAACGATCATCGGGTGTTAGACAAGTGTAACGCTGGAGTTGGGACAAAGCTGCAAGGCCACCTCATCCAGAGTCTTCACTCAGTAGCTGGGCCAGGTGACAGCAGCCTGGCAGCTAGTTTGTGAACACCCCGGGTTAGAACCTTTGTCTTCTAACCGGTTGTTCAGACCCCTTTTCCCTACACCATCCTGGCCATTCAGTTTCTTGAAACATCTTAGCTTTGCCAGTTGAGTGGGAATACATGAAGATGGCCAGGGTAACGCAGAGAGGGCCACACTAGCTGTGGGGGGTTCTGCAGATGCTACTTGCAGGGAGCCCGGCTCTACCATGGCCAGCACATCTACTCTTCTCATAAAACCTGCCAAAGAGAAGAGCCAGAGCTCCAAGAGCAAAGCAGAAGAACCTTTCACGACTCCACGATTCTGATCGTTGCCATCTGCGGCCCTCTGACGAGGTGTATCTCAGATTCACAGGACGTCTATAGTCCATACACACACAGCTCCAGTCAGGGACTGCTTAAAGGATAAAGGGTACCAGAACCAAGGCATATGCTCTCCCAATTTCAAGACGGTTCTCAAGCAAAAGAAATGGCCATTTACATATGCAGATGTTCTGGGGACTTTTTCAAAACTTAAATTCACACAAACACAGATTCTGAGTATAGTGAGATACATTCAGTGTATGAAACGGAAACTTCAACACAGAAAGTTGGTCACTGAAAGTGACGTGCTTACCAGCTGTTGACCCTTGGGGCCCCATCCTGCATACTGAAGTTTTGCGTTGCTGACTTCTGGTGGATCTAAACTTTGAGGATCCCTGAAAGAAAAAAAACAAGCGAAGAAAAATGGTGGGAAACAAGCATTTAAGATGCTGTAATATTATCCTCCAGCTGAAACTTACTCCTTTTTCTTCCACTGAATCAATTTCAGGAGCTTGTGTTATTAAATAAAATGTCTCATTTCAGCCTCCATTAGATTTCTTCAGATAAATAGATAGATATGTAAAATTATATATTTATATATGCATATAAAATTTACATGAACCTGCAATAGGTCCACCACTGCTTAACTTCAATAGTAAATATTCATCAAGAGAGAACATGCAGAGAGCTCTGTAGATCAGCTTTTAAAATATCCATAACAGTCAAAATTAAAAACGGAAACGCATAGCTATGCAGTAATAAGTCCCCACAACTTATATTTCCATCTTTGGCTTTCCTGGCAGATAGGTTTTTTCCCAAGCAGGTCATTCTGACCTTTTAAAACCGGTGGTCTCAGGACAGAGTCCACCCTTTGGTTTGTGTTGATAAGAAGGGAGGGAGGGAGGGACAGAGAGAAGAGAGACACTGAGGTGAGAAGGAGTGAGAGGAAGCATGGGAGAAGGATTTTTTTCTTTCAAACATCACTTACGCTTTTCATTCTTAATTTACTGATATGCAAAACACCATGCTAAAAAAATTCCTGTCTATGTACTTAAATAAAGGTAATAATGAATAAACGTCATAACGAAAAAGAAAACACTTTTATAGATATTACATATTTCAGCATATTTTGTAGCTACCACTGTGCTCACGTGTAGGAAAGACTGACGTCTGTGTTCCTTTCGGATGCTGCCTCTCCCTGTGTCCTACTGGAGAGGCCAGGCTCTGTCAGGGGAGCTCCCTACCACCTGGCTATGGTGCTTCTTGTGCAGAAGACACAGCTATGAATGTGCTCATTCATCTACAGAGAGACTAGGGTTGAGTGGTCTTTGGTGAATTTTAGGAGTTGCTTGAACCAAGACGAAGCAAGAAGGGAAGGGAGGTGAAATGGGTAAGGATGTGCTGATTCAGAGCTTAAATCAGTAGAAAATTCTAAAGTAAATGTTTAACAATACTATCAGGGCAGGGTAGAATACATTTCAGAGTAAAAAGTGTCAGGGAAGACAAGATAGTCTGCAAAGCCCCAGGGTAGTTTTAGATGGCATGGAGATGGGTCTGGAGAAACCAAGGAAGCCTGAAGGTGGGTGATAAGGTACGGAGTAAGGGGTGACCATGACAAGAGGAGTTGGCTGGGAAGGCTGGTCCCCAGGCAGTTAGCAGAGGAAGGGCGTCTAACATTCCAGCTTCCAAATAATTTTAACAAATCCTACCATTTGTATGTTTTTAATATTTCAAAGTATTTTCATAAACATAGGTGATTTCCTCTCTAACCTTGTGGAGGGAAAGGCTTTCTAAGGATGACTCAAAATCCAGAAGTGATAAAATAAAAGAGGGGTAGACTTAACATAAAAATTAAAAATTTTTTGCATGACAAAAAACCCACAAACAATAGAAAATTGGAAGAAAATATTAATAACAAATACCATGGAAAAATGGCTAATATCCCTATTACATAAGTAACTCTAAAATATGGAGGTTATAAAAGACCAAAACAAAAAAATAAGAAAAACACATGAACAGATAATTCACAAATATAGAAAAATGGTCCTCAAATGTATTAAAAAGTACTCAAACACAGGCAAAATTAAATACAAATTGAAACTACACTGATATCATTTCTCACCTATACATCCATACACATACATACAGATAGATCCAAAATCCAGATATGTGAGTCCACAGGTTAGTATACATACATACATGTCCTTGCTCTGTTCATAGAGAAGACCAGATCCAATAACCACCAGGAACAACGAGCCCACCCAGTGGGCTCATATGTTGCTCTCTCAGCACCATCCTCCAATTAAAAAATAAATAAATAAAATAGTGCTCCTAGGAGAAGAAATTTATCCAGGCTAGAACAAGAAAAATGCAGGATGAGTCTGAAACATCTTATGGGCCAGAAAGTAAGGAAATACTCAAAAAAGGTAGAGCTTGTTAACAGAAGGCAGAACCTCACTTACAGGGATCTCTCACGGCCAAAGCTGGAATAATTTGAGCAAAAAAAATAATTAATGATAATACTGGATTAACCCATAGAATAAAACAAATACTCATGAATCCTTACTAATATAAATAAATAATCCAATATATAACTAAGTGGGGGAGGAGAGCCAACTCTTCCTCACAAGAGAATTCCAATCAATCAATCAATTCCAATCAATTCCAAGGGGAGAAGGTCGGAGCATCACCCTTGGTCGGACACCACAGTGATGAACCCTGCAGACAAGATCCACCGAGATATGCTAAAATCAGTGGGTGAAAGTCTGAAGAGAAACAAGATCTGCACAGTCACAGGATACTTTCCAACCACAAATGGGAAGAAGATGGCAACTGTGCAGGGAGAAGCCTGGCAGACAGCAACTCAACCCGGAGATCCGCTCAACACCCCCAGAAGTGAAACACATCAACATCACGAACCTTTAGCAAGATGCACTGAGAGACAACATCCTACATATGGTATCGTCACCGGCAAACCCCGTCAATGATTCCCGGAGAATGAAAACAGAATCTGGGTAATAAGTCTAACCTTTTCTTCCTCTGTACTTAGTCTAGTTCCACTTGCTCACAGGGGGTCGCGTGCAGAGGCCTCGCCCGCTCAGACCCGAGTTTCTGACGCAAAACGGCTGCGCCTGACACCTCGGCTCAGGGTCCTGTGCACGGACGCCGCTCACAACACCGTGACTCAAGATGGCGGCAGCGGGCCGTGTGCTGCGCCCGGCACTTTGCGATCTGGAGCGTGAGCTGCGCGGCTGCCCCGCCCCCGAGAACCCCGCCCCCTCCCCCGGCCAGACCCTATAGAGCAGCCCCGCCCCGGCCTGAGGGTAGAGAGCGCGTGCCCTAGAGCCCAAGCCATTCTTCGCTCAGAGAACAAAGCTTCCCTCTGCCTCTGAACTGAGCTCCGTCCCCTTCTACTGGCTCCAGCGACACCACGCAAGAGACCCCTGTTGGGGACCAACTTGGGTGGCTCGGTAACAGTATTTTTGCCAAAAATGCATCGCCTTACTCCAATCATGAGAAAACTTCAGACAGACCCAAATGGAGGCGCTCATCAAAACAGCTGACCTGTGATCTTCAAAAGTGATCTTTCTTTCCATGAAAGACAAGGAAAGACTGAGGAAACGTCATAGCTTGGAGGGGACTGAGGGGAAATAACATCTACAGGAATGTGGGATCCTGAGACAGAAAAAGGACACTGGTAGAAAAACTGGGCAAATGCAAATAAGGTTTGTAATTGAGTGAATAATATTGTACCAATGTTAATTTTCTGTTCTTGTTGTTATAAAGTACACTGACAGTAGGAGAAGTGAGTTGAGGAATAGAAGAGAATTCTTTGTACTATTTTTGCAACTTTTCTTCACCCAAAATTCTTCAAAATAGAAAGCTAAAAAATTCCAAAGAATTTTAATAGCTTATGTCTCATTGGTCATAAACATTATTATAGGAAATAAAGAAGAGTTAGAGAATTCCCCTCCTAACATACTGTAATCTCGATATTGAATTGAAAAAAAAATTACTTCCATATCTAGACAGTATCAGCACTCAACACACACATTTGCATAAGCAAATAAGTAAGGATGGAGGAGTTATGGGGGTGGCCCTGAGTAAAAGACCTTTTGCAGGTTTGAAGGTCTAATGAATTCACCTGGCCTGAGTTGATTTAGAATTTTCCAAGCAGAGGACAGGGTAAGAGATCAGAAAAGAACAGCCTTACTTAGTATTGAAATTCAGTTTGTTAGATTATGGTTTCTAGCAGGTGTCTAGGATATTCAGGAACAGCAGACTAACTTCTCTTTAATCTAACGAGCGTCAATTTCCATAAATGCTACCTGGAAAGGGTACCTCCAGTGGATCAAGTGTCTCAGAACGTTGGGTGAGCACCCGGCCATGCACACCTTCCAGCTTTATGACCTCTGCTGCCCTGCACACAGGAGACCTTTACACCCTCTCTAGAGACAATGCACATTTCCCTCTGCTCATCACCAATACATCAGACGAGTGTCCCCAGTGTGGAGGCAGCACAGTAACAGGAAGAACCACAGACTGGGGATCAGAAGTCTAGCGGCCGAGTGCCAGCTTCCCGAGGCACAGAGCATGCGCTGGGGCTGATCACACGTGACCACAGATCACATGACTCAATAGTATACTGTATTACATGATAGATACTGAAACCAGGTAGCACAGCGCTTACCTAGTAGATATTTGAAAAATGCCTGTTTGTTTACTCATGGGTAAACTGGTAAATACTCAAGTCAACCATGCACCACTATCTAGGTGTAATTCTAACCAGAGGCACAATCATCTACCATCTATAGGGACAAATTTACTCCACAGGACCCAGCAAGCCAGCGCATGTCCTACGCTTCTGTATTAGGTGGGAACTTGGGTATAGAGAAGTCAGCTCTCAACCATGTCTTCCTCATTTGTTTCTATGAAGTAAGCCTGTGTTTTGGCATCTGCCTGCGACTGGGTCGGATCATTTTGCTTTCATGTTAAAAGCGCCTTTCAGCCTTATCTCTTCCAACTCCCCCTCCAATGACCCACTTGATGGTCATTCATCCTCTGCTCAGATCTCGCACTGCATGGCTCCCCTCTCACAAGCCTAGCGAACACCCAACTTGGCTTTATGTTCAATCTACCTCCTTCATAGACCATTAGAAGCAGCAGAGAAAAGCACGGAGCCAGCTGGAGCCTCCAACGTTCCCGTCATCGTCCTTACAACCAAGTCTTGGGTGGGCATGTTCTTCTCAACAACAACTCCGATCTTTTGCTGCTCTCTTCACATCCCCTTTTATCTACTGCCTCTGAGCAGAGGCCCACCTGTGGGGCAGACAGGAAGGGGACCCCGGTTCTGATCACCTTCCAGGAAGAACCTGTGGCTCGGCTCCCAGCTGCT